GCCAACATTATCAGTTAATCTAGATATCTTTTTCCACAACTTTTTACCTACTTTGTACTACTTCCAAATATATCAAGAGATGGCAGTAGCCTAGAGGTGTTTCTACCCACTACAAGATTCCTATGTAAAATTTTCTTTGAGCTTTGAGGTTCCTGTGGACTAAATCCAAGATGTCTTGTACCAAGACTTGTGGTTCTTGTGGGCTGGATCAGAGATATCTTGTACCATGGTTTACACAATGCAAGCATTTCCATCTGTCACTCTCGTGTTTGTTGTGGGTACTTACGGATAACAAGCTATGTCCGTGCCAGCTTCCATAACAAATTAAATACATATGTCGATGTGAGCATGCTAGCTGGTGAAGAAATTTTGCATTTCTATGAATTCTCGTCAAGGAATACTGAAACCTCCCTTTCCCCTAGCAGATACTTTCATAGAATCATAGAACAATGATTGGAATGGGTGTATATGTAAGGCCATCAAGTCCAATCCCCTGCTTTGTGCAGGAATCCAAATCAAAGCCGATCTGACAGTTGGTTGTCCAATTTTCTCTTGAACGCCTCCAGTGTTGGAGTGCTCACTACCTGCTGTGGTAATTGGTTTCATTGTCACACTGCAATAACAAGACGCTTTGCCTGATAGTCAGCCTAAGTCTGGCTTCATGTAGCTTGAGCCCAATATTACATACCATGCACTTTTTTCTAATCTTTCCTTGCAAACAAAAATATGAAATGGAAGCAAGGAATATATCTGTGAAGATTCTCAGTCATCCAGCAGAGGTTATGTGGAAGTTGAGTCACAGCAACTGGACATTTTTTCTTATTAGGTTGAAACATTGCACTACTCATTCAGCTTCTTCAGTCTGTGGAGAGTTGATAGGAGACCCCAATATATCCTCCACATTGGTTTCACTTTTCCCTGGTCCTTAGATGGACAAAGGATGGGGGAGGGCGAGTGAAAAGCCCACTTCTGCAGTTCTTCTCCACCCATTGTCATGGGTCATTAACAGTGATTTATTTGTATTTATTTATTAAACTTGTATCCCACCCATCTAGACTGCTTCTACTCTGGGTGGCTCACAACAAAATGGTTAACAGTGGTCTTTCTGGTGTGTGTTCCTGATCTTTCTGAGGACAGATGAAAGGGCAGCATGATAATAGGAGACAGATTTTATCTAAGGCCTCCAGCCCTGTTGAGTGAGGGAATTTCTATGTGCTCATGCTGTTTGAAAGAGGGGACAGGGAGGTCATACAGTGGTGCCTCACTTAACGATTGTTTTTGGTTTTGGTTGATAACTTGCTGTTTTAGTTGCTGTCATTGTTACAATTGCTTTGATGGTGCAAGTAGTTTGTTGCAATACTGTGTTATTAACAAAACACTCTCTGATTCCCCCTAGTGCTGAGTTTTTATCCTGCATATTGCAAGTATTTACAAAAACAGAGTAGTGGTTTGTTGTGTTAGTTCCACTGCTCTGTAGTTCCACTGAGTAACCAATTTTGAAACTGTATGTTGCATTTATTTACACAAATACAGAAGATAAAACCAATGAAAGAGCATAACTTTCTTGCTGCTTAATAGAATGGCATAAAACCTGAAAAAACCCTGTCACAATGCCCTTAAAATTCGTCGTCGTTTAGTCGTTTAGTTGTGTCCGACTCTTCGTGACCCCATGGACCAGAGCACGCCAGGCCCTCCTATCTTCTACTGCCTCCTGGAGTTGTGTCAAATTCATGTTGGTTGCTTCGCAGACACTGTCCAGCCATCTCATCCTCGGCCGTCCCCTTCTCCTCTTGCCATCACACTTTCCCAACATCAGGGTCTTTTCCAGGGAGTCTTTTCTTCTCATTAGATGGCCAAAGTACTGGAGCCTCAGCTTCAGGATCTGTCCTTCCAGTGAGCACTCAGGGTTGATGCTTGCTGCTTAGCAGAATGGCATAAAACCTGAAAAACCCCTGTCACAATGCCCTTAAAATTACCTTGAAACTTTTTCAATAAAACTAGACAACATTACTTGTTATGCCTGAGAGCAGCATTCATAACTTACATAACAAGAATTTCATAAATATTATGTTACCTATACCTGTAACTATTTACTTCCGAATGCTGGCTATGGCTCATGGGACGTCAAGCTCAATCATATCCAGAAGCTATAGATTCCCCATGCCTATTCTACAAGAGTACAATTTGGGATAATGAAATGGATTTGACTTATAAACTTCTGAAATTCTTAATCCTTTTTTTAAGGAAGAGAAATTGGTGAGGTAAATTCACCAGATTTCTCCAGAGAAAGGAGAAACTTGTTCTTCAACAAGTTCTCAGAGGTGTGGCTCGACATTAGCAGTGGTTGTAGCATAGCTTTCTCCATTTCTCCTCAAAATGTTTTTGCCTTGTGCATTGCTGCTACAAGAGTCAACATCATTTTTGTGGGCAGCCTGGACACCATTTTGCTTCCTCCACAGTAACTTCTATGATATTGTGGAGGTGTTAGGAGAACGCTGAATTTTGGTGGAGAAACTTGGGGAAAAATCTCTACAAAGCAGCCTTTTGGGGAGCAAGGGGGGGGAAAGGCATCTTAGAACTTTCCTCAGGAAAATAGTCTTCTGGGAACTTTTGGCTCAGCGCTTGTCATTCTTTAGAGTCTAGCACCTTCTCCAGAGCCTCCACAATGTTACATTCTGAGGAGACCTTTATAGACATATTTTGCCTCAACTGCAAAAGATGCTTAAAGTACCATCCTTCCCTGTAAGAACTGTAGTATAATCACAAGGAAGGAGAGGACTAAGTCCAGCCCCAGGAAGAAGGAGATGCAGTAATTTGTCCTCCAATTTCCCAAAATGTTCCCTTTCCAATGAAAGAGACTTCCATTTTGGTGCCTCACTGACAGCTCCCTTCAGAATTTCTTTTGGTCATATTTTTGAACTTTCCGTAATACAGCAAGGTGACCAAATATTTATTCTGTATTTCTTTGCTGTTCTTTCTTTTTGTATCTTTTCATCACTCTCCAGCTTTCCTTGCTGCCCAGATGTCCTGATAGGAAAAAGCCCAGTGGAAGGAGTTACTTCATGGGGTCTTCCTTCAGGTGTGAAAAGCCAGGAGGGCAGCTGGCTGTGAGAGATGATTATATAATGCAAGTCAAAAAATTAAGACACGCGTCTTGGCTACCTCAAAAGTAAATGAAACAAAAAAAAAATCCAAACCTTCAGCCATTCTTATTCACTCATTTCTCCAAATGTTCTCCTCCTCTGAAATTATTTTCTGAGGCAATATATTTTCTATCAACTTGAATGAGCACTGCAGTTAGCCTTCTTGTATGGCCCTGTGGTCGCCATTTTGGACAACATCCTCTTTGGCTTCATGGCCTGCTTTGCCAATGTTCACTTTATAGAAAAAAATGATCACTTTATGTTACTAATTAACCATCCTTTTAATATCCACTGGCTCCTCTAAGAGCTTTAATATCAACTAGAAGTTGAATAAGAACAAGAAATTAAAATTTCCACCAGATACATTTCTTGTCTCAGCATTTATTTAAATAATTGCCCATGACACTTCCACGACACTGACTTTGAACATGAAGTAAGGTGGTATCTTACTCCATCAAGATTAAAAATGCTTCATCCAGCAGGAATTTGCTGAAGATATCACTCAGCCAACATCTGTTTTCTTTTGATTTTCACAAAATTAGAGAAATATTCAAATGGGGGGGAGGAATTGATAGGACAGGTTATAAGATACCACTGATGCAGTTTATAGTTTTAGTTCAATGTGTTAAAGAGATAAGTATAATACTTTTTATTATCTTCAAATAAAAAGTAAAATAATATTAATTCTCTTTGTTCACAGAAATACAGACTAATATTTCTTATAACTGGAAAAAAGATCTAGCCATCTGTCAACTTAAAAGTGGGTTAAGAGGATCTGGGACATGGCCTAAGTGATCAACATGACAATTCTAGCAAAAATTAGGAGGGACAGCAGTGGGAAAATACTTTTGTGAAAACACAGGTCTTTTTATTGCATATTGGAATGCTGGAGTTCAAGAATAGATTATATGTGATTCTTCAGGAAATTTAAAAGATGAAAACATTAAACTTCTATTGTAATATATTTGTGTGTAGTAAATATTAATAACTGATTACTGTTGTTATGTGCTGTCAAGGTGCCTCTGAGCTATGGTGACCCCATGAATGAGCACTCTCTAAAATGTCCTGTACTCAACAGCCTTGCTCAACTCTTACAAACTGTGGTTCTTTTAGGAAGTCAATCCGTCTCATATTTAGTTTTCTTCATTTCCTGCTGCCTCCTATCTTTCCCAACATTATTGTCTTTTTTCAAGGAATCCTGCCTTCTCATGATGTGCCCAAGTAGGAGAGCCTCAGTTTCAGCATTTTTGTCTCCAGAGATAGTTCAGACTTGATTTGGTCTAGGACCTACTTGTTCATCCGTCTGGCAGTTTGGGGTGTATGCAAATCTCTTGTCCAGTTCCAATGAATCTCTCTCCCCCCCCCGGGAGCTTTCTTTCATGTCCTGCTTTCACACCCATTTATGGTGACTGCAAATATAATAGTATGGATGATCTTGGCCTTCATCTCCAATGACATATCCTTACACTTGATGATCTTTTCTAGTTCCTTCATTGCTGGCCTTTCAAGTCTAGACGATTAGATTATTGTAAATTTTTTATTGTTATGTTACTCATATTAAAAAGAAGGATCCAGCCAGTTGGCCTTGGAGGAAAATGTTGCAATGTGGAAGACCCCTGTTCAGGATTCTAGCCAGCTAGACGTGCCCTTTTCCCGCATATACTGACTTTTCCCACTATTTCTAATTCAGGAGTATTCATCACTGCTTCCTTGAACATAGACGTCAAGTCTACTCATTAAGGAAGCCATTGTGTCCATAATCATTTCCCAGCAAGGAAATTCTGGATGTAGGATAGTGATAAGAATACTCTTTTTTATCACGCTATTGTATCAGAACAAATAACAGCAAAGGAACAGATTGCCCCCATGTTCTTTAAAAGGTGGACTTCATGCTAGGATTCCCTCAGAGGTAACAACAATATTAGAGGGTTTCTTTCTGGACTCAGCTGGATAATATCTGTTCCAATTTGTCCTCACCTGTCATCTTGTGAATGAAGCACAACACAGGTGGTACCCAGCAGCGGATTTGCTCAACCTTAGCTCTCCAAAATCGTAAGTCTCTTCATAAAAATAAAAAAAATCACCAGCGTTTTGTAAATGTTGAAATGTATAATAACAGAGTGCTTTTATTTATATGTGTCATTACCAGGATCTTTACCTCACCTTTTCTTTCATCACAACAGTGTGATTTTTCTGTAGCAGGTGCCCATGTTTTATTAAAATATTCATTTCATTTCATTCACAATCCAATACCAAGTGTATAATGGTAACAGTATATTTGTATCAAGCTTAGATAGCTCAGAGAGTTAGCTGAGACAATGAGAAAGGCTGTGTTAGCCCCATCCTAGTTACAGCTATGTTGGCATCCCAGGATAAGCCAAGAGTGCCTGGCAGTGATGTGAAAGGCACTGTGCCTTATAAGAGAACCACCAGCCTATATAGCCTTGAGCAACCTGCATTGTTGCAGAGCACCTCACAGAGAAATTGACTGGCAAATCAACTTCTCAGTTATAAAATCCAGATAAATGTCCATATTTTATCTGGAAACGGTTGCCATAGGTCTGAATCAACTTGGCAGCATGTAATTATAGATTCCTTTGGAGCCACACAAAGTAGACAGTGTTTCCCACAGTTTGCTGTCTACACATGCATGAGTACATGCCCCTGGTATCTTAAACCAAAAATATTTTTTGAACATTGAAATTGCTATTTCTGTTCCTTTTAGGTATTAGATCCTCTCTGTGCATGGTGACCTGCTCATCATAGTAAATAGTAAAAGAATGCAGATCGATCAAATTTCATGTTGTTTATTGGCAGTCCTGTGTCTCCATATCCTGAATCGCTTTGCTACTCAAGCAAAAGGTTTGTTTGGTTTGATAACCATTTCTATTTGTTTGCAATTGGGTTTTTCTTTCATTCTGTCTCAGGACACTACTGGACAGGGGAAGTTGAAGTGATGGATCATTCTTTCTGGAAACGTGCAGTCTCTGAAATATAAGGCAAACCAAACCACGCCAAAATGAGCGAGCTATGTGCTTCTCTTGCTTTATGTGCAGTGGTTCTCCATCTTGGACAACAACCCAGATGTTCTTGGACTGCAACTCCCAGAACTCCAGACAACACCTGATGGTGAAGGCTTTTGGGAATTGCAGTCCAAGAACATCTGGGTTACCTAAGGTTGGAAACCACTGATCTACTGCATTTAAGACTTTCAACTTCTGTTCAATATTTACATTCCCCCCCCTCAGTAAAAATAAAATTGTAACCTGCCTTGAACTTAGGGAAAGATGAAGTAAAACTTTATTAAAACATGCTAATCATTGACTTCATGAACTGCAATCACCCGAATCCTACACCAGCACTAAAAATGGTATTTGAAGTTCTGAAGGAATTCTGGCTTGCTTTCTTAACATCAAGTTTCTGGGTCTTATAGTGAAATGGGACAAAGCCAGCAGTCATGTATACATTTGTGATCATAGCTTTATTTGTAATTTAATTTATTTTTTGTTTGTAATTAATTAATTAATTAGTGGAGGGTAAGTAGTTCAGCAGAATTATCATGTACAATATAGTTAGATAATTCTGTGGTCAGGAAAAGAATAAGAGTACCCTCCCACATTTATTAAAGAAGATAAGTGAGAGCTGGACCATAAAGAAAGCAGACCGCCGAAGAATTGATGCCTTTGAATTGTGGTGCTGGAGGAGACTCTAACTGCAATCACCCGAATCCTACACCAGCACTAAAAATGGTATTTGAAGTTCTGAAGGAATCCTGGCTTGCTTTCTTAACATCAAGTTTCTGGGTCTTATAGTGAAATGGGACAAAGCCAGCAGTCATGTATACATTTGTGATCATAGCTTTATTTGTAATTTAATTTATTTTTTGTTTGTAATTAATTAATTAATTAGTGGAGGGTAGGGTAAGTAGCAGAATTATCATGTACAATATAGTTAGATAATCCTGTGGTCAGGCAAAGAATAAGAATACCCTCCCACATTTACTAAAGAAGATATAGTAAATGACTGAGATAATACAGTACTATTATAGAAGACTGTTTCTGGTCCAAAACAGTCTAGTCATCCTAGAGGGCCTGGCGTGCTCTGGTCCATGGGGTCACGAAGAGTCGGACACGACTAAACGACTAAACAAAACATAGTAAATGACTGAGATAATACTATTATAGAAGACTATTTCTGGTCCAAAACAGTCTAGTCATCCTAACATTTTAAATTTATTTGAACTTGATCTATATTTCATGAACATCCATAATCTTAAATTGTGCAACTCTCTGATACACATAAAATCGTTCACTTACAGTAATTTGATTAATTTTACATTAATGCATTATTTATATAGCTATAGTAAGATTTTACTTAGGCTTTTGAGTTAATTTAAGTTTATTAATCTTTTAATAAGGCTTGTTGTTGTTAGGTGCTATGAAGTCATCTCTGACTCATGGCAACCTTATGAATGAGTGACCTCCAAAATGTCCTTTTCTCTCTTCTAAAAGAGAACTTAACCCTTTTATTTTTGCATAAAATGCCCATTCTTTGCCTTGAGAAACTTCATTAAACAAGGAAGTTTTTGATCTCCATATTTACTTCTTGAAATGAGACTCCTGTATTGACTGGCTATCTTTTTCCTGGAGTCACAAGTTTTTTTTAATTTTTAGCTCCTCTTACTCATCAGTCGCTGGTTCATTCTTCCATAATAACATATTGGTTTCTTAAAACCCTAATGCGCCTTGAGCAAGAGCTTTGTCATACGGTCTCATTTAAAGAGTCAGATGAGTTATGATAAACACATACAACAAACATCTAAAAATAAAATTTAATAAGGAAGGGTTCCCTATTTTAAAGGCCACCTGCTTTGTTCTTTAGCAGGCTCAGCTTCTTTGCAGTTGCTTTGATTAGAGAGAAGAAGCTCTCCATATGATAAAAGGCCACTTGTGTGAACATATTTTTAGGAATAAAGATCTTATAAATATTGAACAGGGAGTGTTGTACAGTATCTGTTTAGGGCTGAAAGATGCAGCCATAAAATAATGTTTTTAAACTCTTGATACTGAAGAGTTCTGATTTCAGTTTTTATTCTTCCCTTCACCCCTCATTCAGCCCTTGTTCCTACCACCCCACAAATTCATGAATTGACTCCTGACTATATATCTGATACCTTGGAAGTGAAGTGGTACGAAGGTGGTTCAGCCTTTCCATATGAACTGAATGCCATCTGGGAAATTCACATACTGCATAAAAAGCCCCTGAAGGAAGCAGCACGAGTAAGTCTCTCCTTCAAGTATCCTGGCATGTGTATATTACATGCATTCTGAACTTTAGAGGCATGTACTTGCAGAGATGGAAATAAAATTGGTGTGTGGACAGATTCAGCATATCTGGGGGGGTCTATTTTCTGCTGGTGGGATATTCGATGGCAGTGGTTCCCAGCCTTGGGTCCACAGATGTTCTTGGATTAATACTCCCTGAAGCCTTCAGCACTAACTGTGGCGGCCACGTTTTCTGGGAGCTGTGGTCAAAGAACATCTGGGAACCAAAGGTTGAGAACCACTGCTAAGGGGCTTAATAGACTGCTGAACATGATCAGAAAGGAAGGCAGGCAGGCAGGCAGGCAGGCAGGCAGGAAGGCAGGAAGGAAGGAAGGAAGGAAGAAAGGAAGAAAGGAAGAAAGGAAGAAAGGAAGGAAGGAAGGAAGGAAGGAAGAAAGAAAGAAAGAGAAAGAAAGAAAGAAAGAAAGAAAGAAAGAAAGAAAGAAAGAAAGAAAGAAAGAAAGAAAGAAAGAAAGAAAGAAACTAGTAGTGAGAACTTTACATCCAGTTCTGAGGCATGAATATTTATTTGTGTTAAATGGTATAGGGGGACTCTGTGACCTTCCAAAAGCTTTCTAGAGCCACCATTCAGCTTTCTTGCCAGAAAAAGGAGTTGGTGGGGGCTAGGAGCTGCTGAAACAGTCTGAGGCAGGAGGCTGTATGCAGCACCAGAGCTGAGATAATACGGGACAGTCGTGAATTAAGAATATTTGTGGCTTCTAGAGGAATTCTCTCCATTCCAGTTTCACTTCCTTTTAGGCTCTGTAGAGGGCATCTCCCAAAGAAAGACCACTCCAAAGAACCACTATGGAAGCTTCCTTTTTCTTATATTGCCAACAGAAAGTGATCGCCTCAGAATGCCATGCAGCTTCTGAGGTAGGCCCTGGTCCAGGTGGGCAAAATGTAGGCGTGGGTCTGTGATCTCCCAAAATTCTGCTTGGGGAATTCTTGGAGAATTCTGGAAATTGGCATTCAGATAAACCAGATGCCATGTCCCTTATGAATGAATGGGCTGTTGAAGTTGCCTTCTTGGCTGTACAGGAGAAAGGGGAGTGTATGGGCTTCAGATTTGCATCAGTTTCTTTCTCTTTGTGTGCTTCTTGCTAATATGAGAATATTTGGTACCGTACTTATGTTAGTTGATAACAGTGTGGCAATGTTATGGCTGTTAAATAAGAGTATATAATCTGAAACCCATACTTTGATAAAAATAGGAAATTTGTGCTCATTGCGTTAGGAAACCTATTCAGAAATAGTGCAGGTGAAAAATAAATCTGCACTTAGTCATAGAAGCCTCTAGAGGTGGCTTGCATCTATACAGGGACATCTGTGGCTACCTATTCTTTAACAAAAGGAAACAATAAGTGACCACTTTCCATGAAGAAAGAGGAAGTAAGGCAATTTTCACCTCACTAGATGCTTCCTAAGGAAAGACAAGAGTAACAAGATGTGTGCTCAGGAAGATAACTCTATCTCAGCATTTACTTCTATCCTACTATCGATCGTAGTACGATAGAGAGTATCCTAACATATGGCATCCTCTCATGGTATGGTCTGAAATGGATAAAAAAAGGCTTTACAGAGAATCACTAAAATTGCCCAAAATATTATTATACTTCAGCTCCCAACCTTGGACAATATTTTTGCATCCCACTGCTTGCGGAAGTCATTTCATATTCTTAGAGATTCTTCCCACCCTGCTTATAACTTCTTTGAACTGAGGCTTTCCGAGAGAAGATACAGAACAATTAAAATGCAGACAACACACTTTTTGACCAGTTTTTATCCTAGAGCTATAATTGAACTTAACAAGGAACCTAAGAATCACCAGCAGTGAGTTGTTGGACTGTATTACTATTACTTGGTCTGTAGTGTTGTGTGTACTTGTGCTCTTAGGCAGGGTTCTGGGTTTTAGGATTGT